GGGGGGGGGGGGGGGGGGGGGGGGGGGGGGGGGGGGGGGGGGGGGGGGGGGGGGGGTCAACAGCGCTGGTTGGTTAGCGCCGGTGGCCCCGGAATAGCGTCGGTGAAAACCGCTGGGCACAGACTGAATCACAAGCTCGTTACGCAAACTAAGTGACGCCGATCCCTCTGAATAATACCGGTCGATGCGCCGGTACCTACCGGCGTTATTGAGGCAACCCCACTACTGCTGTACCTGTTTTTCTACGATTCCCCGAAGCAACATATGTACATATCTTCAACATTCATATTTTTTCACGCCCTGTACGACTTAAAACTAACCAACGAAGTTGTCTGCAGGCAACGAAGTTGTGCACGATTCTGAACCAGTGGTTGTTTGCAGGCAACTACATAGTTGCACACGATTCTGGAGGAGTAGTTGTCTGGCAAACTACCAACTATCGCAGTTGAACAGGGCGTGAATCTTTACCTCGCAGTAGGCCTTTCCCATTATGCTTTTTGTTCGAATTATATGCTCCTTTTGTGAGGCAAGCGTATGCTCGTTCTTGGGCCAATTATGCTCGAAGAAATGACCAAAACTGCAATTTATACTCGTTTTTTGGCCAATTACGCTTGCTTCGGTCAAACATGCTCGACTTGTGCCCATCATTTCGATATCCTTCTATGCTTTTTGGCGCTCAAGCATAATGGGATCATGGGGAAACGCCTACCTCGTAGGCGTCCGAGGAATCCGTCTCCTCGACGCGTAACGCCACGTTGCGGTCCAACTCCTTCATGAGCCGATCCCGGATCATTCGCGTCGTGAGGAACTTGCCCTCCCTGCCGGCCAGGGGCGACTTGTTCACCCCGAAGGTCATTCGGACGGTGGGCTCCTCCACCGCGATGGGCACCATCGGCTGTGAGCGGGAACGTCGAACGGAGACATCGAGAACGGAACATCGAGAACGGGGAACATCGAACGGGAATATCGAGGACGGCAAAATTCGAACGGAAACATGAACGGGAACATACATCTTGAGCACGCTACAGCAGTTTCGTGCACATCGTCCACGTGCCCGAGGCAAACGACATGGGTACCCTGGGGCACCGATGGACCGATGGGTACCATCGGCTGCTGCCAGCGGGAATTTTCGAAGGGGAACATGGAAGGCACAAAACGTCTTGAGCACACTACAATGGAGGGAACTTGGCCACAAGAGCAGATGCTCAGTTAAGAATCCTGTTCTTTAAACCATTGTAGTCCATGCTGGGCTAATCACCCCCGGGACGCAACAAGAGTTCTTTCTTTTTTTTCATCATTCGAGGGGTGGCGCGTTCTGCATATTTACAGCTCGAGAGGCAGCACTCACGTTGGGGTTGGCCGGGTCTAGGATGGTGTCTCCGATCCCGATTTGGGCAAGACCGGCGACCATGACGATGTCCCCGGCGTGCGCCTCCTCCACGGCCTGCCCGGAAAGACACAAAAAGACTTATTTCTTTAGATGGAGATGGATTTGTTGTGTGATATTAAAAAAAGAAAAAAAAGAAAATGCGGCTAAGCAACAACAAAAAAAACGCGGCGCAACACAAAAAACAACAACGCGGAAGCAACAGAAAGGCGGGGCAACAACAGAAACGCAGGGAAAGTCATCAGTAGCTACACGCCGGCCAACCCCAACGGCAATCGGAACGGTAAGACTGCGAGTTGACGAGACTTTTCCCTCAAACGGGTGGACCGGTACATGGGGGGTCCTCATTTAACCGCGGCACGGCCGACATGTGAAGGACCAGCTAATCATTCCGGCGGAGGAAAAAATAAACAACAGCCTCGGACAAAAAACAAGAGGTTCTCGCAATGGATGGACAAGAGGCTACAGCATCGTAAAAGAGTTGTTGCGACTTCTGTACCGGAAGATTCTTGTAGTTGGTGTCGAAGAGGCTACAGCAGTATCGTCGAAGAGGCTACAGCAGTATCGTCAAAGAGGCTACAGCAGTATCGTCGAAGAGGCTACAGCAGTATCGTCAAACAGTTGTTGTGACTGCTGTATCACACAAACAGCAGCTCCATACATACCTTGCGGCCGAGGTTGTCGAAGACGAAGAGCTCGGAGACCTTGCCGGTCTTGACGTCTTCGCCCGGACGCCCGAGCCCGACGTTTTGCCCCTTCTTCAGGGACCCCGAGTGGATTCGCCCGACCCCGAGCTTCCCCTTAAAGTCGTCGTAGTCGATGTTGGCCACCAACGCCTGGGCGGACGGCGGGGAACGAAAAAAAAAAAGGAAGCAAAGTTTGGTGAGGCAGACATGGAGAGGATGCAGACTACTGCTGCTGGTTGAAACCGTCGATTTGCCACAGGCACAACCGTTTTTTGTTCTTGTAGTTTTGGTTGTCAGATCTGGTGGAGAGTTCGCGCATCAGGATTTTCATCAGGTTAGGTTAGGAGGGGGGGGGGGGGTACTCATAGCCGTGCATGACGCATTTAGTCACAAGACCATGGACCTCGCACATGTACCTGCAGACCCGGGACGGAGCACGCCGGGTTTTCATCGGACCAGGCAATTACATCACGTCACCAAGTGCCAAGCGCCGCGACGTATCCAGGTGACGGGAGGGGGGCAAAGTACTTTGGGGATAGACAAGTTTCACGGTGTTTTCGGGATTTTTGAAAGACAAGCTACACAGTCAGTGCCGTCGGCGCTAAAACAGAACCTGTAGCGGCGCCGTTTCCTTCACGAGGGGCTTCGGCATGCCCATGATCGCCTTGAACAACGGCTCCATGTTCTCCTCCATTTCATCGGGCTCGTTGCCCGCGATGCCCTTGATCGCCGAGGTGTACACGATCTGCGGCAAGGCAAGCACACGCATCGAATACAAGCACAAAGATAGAAGAGAGAGAGAGAGAGCGACAAAGCAAAGCGGCGGATAGCGACCTTTCGGTTACCATGTTTCAAAAATCTATAGTTTGAATTCCGTTGTCAATTGTACCCTAGACGGTTATCCATGGATAGAGAGGCGGCTTCATTGTGTTCTATTATACATAGGAAAAATGAAAAAATAACACACACGACAGAGAAACGAGCGCATAGCAAAACGCGAATTGCGACCTTCAGATCGTACGGACATAGGGAAGGAGAGGCCTGATCAAAACCTTTTCGCGACCATCCAACAACCACCTCATTCGCATCTCGGAAGGGCACGCATGTATTTGCCACTACAATGTTTGGGGTATTTGGATACAAGATCGGATCTGAGAAATATGTGTACATGGGGTATGTATGCTGTTGGGGGTCCAAGTGCAGGGCCCCTCGAGAGCGAGCGAGAGAGCGAGAGCGCACATGTATTCAGTAGTTTGTCTCCATGTTCTGTTTGTGAGCTGGAAGGAGGACGATTGTGTGTTAATATCATCAAGGTTTATGTAATCCAACATCGGTCCTGGGTTAACCTATTTAGTCCCACTACAAAATTCCAACCACACTACCATGGGAAGGTGCGGAGGCACAAACAAACCACTGCTACATACAAACAGCTGGGCCGTAGATGCACTCGCCTGGAAGTCCGACTGCTCGTCGCTGGCGTTCAGGTCGCAGAAGAGGTCGAACGTCTTGTCCACCACATACTCCGGTCGTGCCGAGGGCCGGTCGATCTTGTTTACCACAACCACCGCCTGAAGCCCGAGATCAAGGGCCTTCTTGAGCACGAACCTGGTTTGGGGCTTAGGCCCCTCGACCNGGGGGGGGGGGGGGGGGGCAGGAGCGCAGCAGGCGCATGCCGTAGGGGGGGGGAGGGGGGTCGAAGAGCGAAACTTGGCTTTGTGGTGGAGTGGGGGTGGGGGGGGGGGGGGGGGGGGGGGGCCCACGTGGCTCCAGAGCCAGCTTGGTGGGGAAAGTCTGATTTCGGGGAGACTAACAAGTTCCCAGCAAATTCGCCGCCGAGCCCCCCCCAAGGGCCTTCGCCCCTCGGCACGAACCGTAGGATTGTGAGGAGGCGGGTGGGGGGGAGGGGGGGTCCTGAGGTAGCTGTACCGACGCACATTCGTGTGTCATTGGTGCGCGCGAGATTACCCTGCACAGCGGTATCGTCAACCAGCCCTAGTTGAGAAAGAGCGCTTGGGTTGGTTGGTACCCGGGCCACTAGTTGGTGAGCCCCACTCCTTTTTCGGCGTTCGTGCGCACCACCGTGCGAACTCCTATAGTGCACGCACCGTGCCAACTCAAGTGACTCTTAAAGCGGTGCAAGGAAGTTGCGTCTCAATGGTGTGCGTACCACAACGTAGTTCGTTCACGAAATTCATCTCTCTATCCTCACATATTCTTTCTTCATGTTTTTTCATCCCCAACCCCAAATAAACACTCCAGGAAATAAACTTATGCCGGTCAGGACTTCAGTAGTGTTGTATCTGACCAACCTGTGCTTCTGCTGGATCTCCTACTATCCTGCAGAACTGATATCTTGTCAAATCACGTGACCGACTAGGAGGGCGGTTCAGGCCCCACGACGAGCAAAATGCCACCCGCCACGTTTGGCCCACACCAGTCTCTCTCTCTCTCTCTCTCTCTCTCTCTCTCTCTCTCTCTCTCTCTCTCTCCCTAGCTCTCAGTCTCTGTCTCACTCTCTCCCTCACCGAGTCCACAACGAGCAAGATACCATCCACCATGTTCAGGATCCGCTCGACCTCTCCCCCGAAGTCCGCGTGGCCGGGGGTGTCGACCAAGTTGAACTTCGTGTCCTCGTACTTGATGGCGCAGTTCTGTCGTGCACGCCGCCAGCCGCAACAACAGATCGAGGGAACCGGGTGAAAAAGAAGGGGTTGATTCGACAACGACGAGGACTCGGGCTACAATCGCAGTACCATCGAGGTGTGTGTGTGTGTTTCCTTTTCAAAAAAAGTGCCATACACAAGCTTTAGATGTGATGTGAATCTGCAAGCCACTCTAAGGCACCGTTGCCCGTTTTCGCGCCATACAGAAGCTTCAGATGTAATATGACTGCAAGCCGTGTACTTAAGACATGTGTTCCCTTTCTCAAAAGTGCCGCATGCTTGAAATGTGACGTGAGCTCAAAGGCCGCTTCTTTACAGACATTCTTACATTTTTCCTGTCTAGAAAAGTCCCAAATACAAGCTTTAGATGTGAACGCAAATCCCATGGACAGAGGGTATCGTAGAAACTCCGCCGAACGCCTTCGCGAGAAATGAAGTTTATGAGGAAGCAGAACGAACAGGGAGAGCGGTATGCAGCCCCATATCCTAACCCAACTTCCCCGAGCGCAATGCATGTTTCATCCAACATTATTTGGACTTGCAAAAAAATAGAAAATAACAAACGTGCCAAGGCTGGAACACGCTGAACTCCGCCGCACCTTCGCCAAGATGGTGATTCCACGCTCGCGCTCCTGGTCGTTGCTGTCCATCACTCTGATGCCCATCTGCACGCAGTTCACGAGCAACAGCAGCAGTAGTGACGGACAAGAGAGAGGGAAAAAACAACACTTGTCACCCTGATGCCCATCTGCACACAGGTCACACGCGCTACAACAGCAGCAGCAGTGACGGGCAAGAGAGAGGGAAAAACAACATTGATCACTCTGATGCCCATCTGCACACAGGTCACACGCGCTACAAGAGCAGCAGCCGTGAAGGGCAAGAGAGAGGGAAAAACAACATTGATCACTCTGATGCCCATCTGCACACAGGTCACACCACGCGAATAGCCGACGGGTACGAGAAAGTGGGAAAAAAAAAAACACTGATAACGTGCCACGTGAAGCCATGGGAGTCATGTCCCTCGGGGCGGTGATCGGCGAGAGAAAGCGCGGCAGAGAGCTGTTCTGCGATCAACCAACACGCCCCCCCCACACACACGACAACAACCACCAGCGGCGGCAGTCGGACTCGTGTCGGGAGGTTGAATCGGTGAGAGAAAGCGCGGCAGCTGAGTAGCTCACCTACGACCAACCCGACAACCCTCCTGTCCTCACATGGCACACAAACACCTCGTCACCGCAACTGCTGTAGGAACTCGAGAGCAGAGGCACGAGAAACCGCAATGCGGCAGGCAAGGAGCTTTCCTAAACCCACCCCCGGAATCATATCTACTCGCCCTCGACAAGAGCTTCTCTGAAACGTTACAGACGTCAACTCGCACCCATTGGATACAATAGATACATATGCTTGACATTCGGGAAAGGAAGGCGTCCAGAGTCAAGTAGATCCAGTATTGTACGGATTGTGGGAAGGTACTGTGCAGAAATTGCAAGGGGCTTGTTTGTCAAGTCGACAACGTGCGTCTTTCGTCAACAACAACAACAAAGAAAATCAACAACAACGCCTTGACGAACGCCCGAACGCTCTGATTCGCCTAGGCTTCCCACGAGACACAGGAGCCTCAGGTGACCTTTTTTTTTTGGGGGGGGGGGTTGTTGTTGTTGTTTGTTTGTTCTCACATTAGCTCTATGGTCCACAAAAAATGGGGAGCCCGTGGTCTCAAAACCCGGCACATACGACGCCGCGGGGAAACAAAACAAAAATAGGGTACAAACCACTCGGAACAAGAAAAAAAAATGATAAAAAGAAAAGAACAGGGATCGCACCGACCATTCGAGAAAAGAGCCCTCGGAAACCGATCAACATAAAACAAAAACAAAAATAAAGTAGGACGCTTCCCACACCCGCCCAAATAAAAAATCAAGGGTAACGTAACAGCACCAGGCACTACGCACCAGGGCATGGGAGTAACGGAGCAAACCGGACAAAGAGGCGGCAGATGGGCAGACAACCAGACGTACAAAAACAAAGGCAACAGCAAAGCGAGATCAAGGTACCCAACACAGCAGAGTTGGCAGCGAGGTCATGAACAAAAGATACCAAGCACAGAGGCCGAACGCACCAATGTGAATGCATGGCGCAGTCGTTGGACCATTGACATCGCATCCCTACAGTGCCGG